TACCATTCAAGATGGTGTCATCAAACTTCAAATGTTGATACATACTGATCAGAGCTGTTCAACTGCATCACCATTTTTGACCTTGACCTTTCCTTTGGCCTAACTTTTCTTGAGTTAATGTTTAGCTCAGATTTATAGATACCATTCAAAATTGTATAATCAAACTTCATATGTTGATACAAACTGATGAGAGCAGTTCAACTGCATTACCATTTTTGACCTTGACCACACTTCTCCAATTAGTGTTTAGCTCAGTTTTAAAGAAATCATCCAAGATATTTTTATCAAACTTCATATGCTGATAGTTACTGATGATAGTTATTAAATTGCATCAACATTTTTGACCTTGACCTTTACTTTGACCTTGAGTTCACTTTTCTTAAGTTACTTTTAAACTTCATATGGTGATACATACTGATGTAAGTAATTCAACTTCATCAACATTTTTGATCTTGACCTTTCATTTGACTTTGACCTCCATTTTATCAAATTGTGTTTAACTTTAAAGAAACCATTCATAATATTTTCTTTCAACTTCGTATGGTGATAAATATTGATGAGAGCTTTTCAACAGCATCAACATTTTTTGACCTTGTCCTTACCTGACTTTTGACCTCACTTTTCTGGTATTAGTGTTAAACTTTATATGCTGATGCATACTGATGTAAGCAATTCAACTGCGTCACTATTCAAGATATTATGATCAAATTTCATACTCTAATACAAATTTTCATGTTGCATTACTAATATACCCTCGGCGGGGCATTCATGTCCTATGGACATATTTCTAGTTTTTTACAGCATTGATACTCAATTTTGGTGGTAAGAGTTAATGTTTCCAGTAATGTAATGGGTTATTTATCTTTTAGAGGGTGTTGCCAAAGGAGAAGATGCCATGTCTTTATTGGACAATCCACGTACACGGACATTATTTATTGACGATCTTATGGAGGTAAGCTGTTTACTACAACCAGTGAACAGAGTACTGGTTAATGCATCATCATTGTTAATCACTCTTTCGTAGCAAGATAAAATAAAAGTTTGTAATAGATATACATATAAACTTGTACCTAGTATATTTATTAATTTTATCATACATGTAATAAATATACACATGTATATTAAAATTAAGTGGATTAGAAATGGCATTTTAGTTCTCAACACTTATCTGTATGACTGACTTCCTAGAAAAAAATAATACCTCATCCACTTGTTTAAGACAGTGCCATTTGTAAAGTTACTTTGAGATATCACAATTATTAAATGTACAAAATGTTTCTTAATCTTGCAACAGTAGGAATGTAAGACTGCATTAATTACACTGAAATTTTTTGTAGTTGGAGGCGTTCTTGTCCCAGCGGTTGTTTGAGCTGGAGTCGGACTCTGTGGGGGGAGACGTCCTGGTCAGCGGTCAGATGCAGGACGCCCCTCCCTCCATACAGCTCCACCAGGACACAGTGACCAGTATGATCAGCCAGGTCCGGGACGTCATTGCGGCATTCAGCACGGTCAAGATGCATCACCTTCTGTCCATCAGGAACTCTCCCAGGTGTGTTTAGCGATGGTCTTAACAAAGACTTCAGTCTTTTATACAATCTTATATCAGGGTTTCCAGTTCAAATTTTTCAATTTAAATTTTCTGCTCTTTTGCAAGAAAAGTTAGACATTTGTTTACTATTTTTTCGATGTATGAATAAGTGTAGTGTCAAACCTCCTTATCTCAAACTCTTTGCAGCCAAGAAAAAAACTTCAAGATATTTGAGTATTTGAGATATTGAGTGTAAATGAGTGGTTGGAAGTTCCAATTCACTTTGACGTATCCATGGAATTTGACATATCATTGTTTGAGATACCAGTGTTCAACTGTATTTAACATTATCTTTAGGCAGATTTTGAAATGTACAATTTACTTCAGTTTTAAGAAGTACATCATTTAAGTTTTAAAGCTAATATTAATAAAGAATTGAAAATTTTTAGATATGTGGAACGTCTAAAGGACACATTAAAACAGATGTTAAACTTGGCTGACAAGATGGTGTTCCTGGAGAAAGAGATGGTAGTCAAACATAAGGATGCTGAGACTGAGCAGTCAGAAACACAGCCTAAACTAGAACTAGTCATCAAACGCACCAAAGAACTGCAAAAACAGGTATACATTAGTCACTAAACGTACAAAAGAACTGCAAAAACAGGTATACATTAGTCACTAAACGTACAAAAGAACTGCAAAAACAGGTATACATTAGTCACTAAACATACAAAAGAACTGCAAAAACAGGTATACATTAGTCACTAAACATACAAAAGAACTGCAAAAACAGGTATACATTAGTCACTAAACGTACAAAAGAACTGCAAAAACAGGTATACATTAGTCACTAAACATACAAAAGAACTGCAAAAACAGGTATGCATTAGTCACTAAATTTACAAAAGAACTGCAAAAATAGGTATACACTAGTCATTTGGAATTTATTCCAAAACTTGAACGTTTTGTATTGTATTTTGAAAATTACATTAAGAACATTTGAACAGGAACATTCTGTTTTTGGTGTTAACTTTCAACACTCTTTTCAAAACATAAATTTATCACATGACCAATATATGTGATTTTTTTGTATTATAGTTTGTATATTCTTTAGCAATAAGTTCCAACTACTGTAGTATTGATGTTGATTATCAATTAAAACCGCTTTTGTTCACTTCAGATGGAGGCTGAAATATCGAAGCGCTACAAGGACCGAGTGGTGAATATAATGGGAGAAATAAACACAATGTGATGATAGTCTTAGTTATAGGCCACATAGAATTTGTGATAACTGAATCAGATGTGATTGAAAATGTCCATGGACCAAGTTGATAAACATTACCATATAAATTCATATACGTGTATACAAAGTGTAACAGGCACACATAGAAAGAGGGAAGAGCAGGTTTATTAAATAAAAATCTTGTTTTCCATACTAGAATGAAAAACTGTCTAGAGGGACAATTCAAAGATGGTATATATTGTTTATTTTTTCTGTTACATGTGATATTTTTTAATAATAAAATTATGGGAAGGCATTTTACACTTGTCATTGAAGTGGAACGTTTTATTCAAGACTAAATATATGTGTAGAAAGATTAAGAATTCCAATAAATTGCCAAAGTTTTTTTTTTTGGTAAACTTTCCACATTTTTATCCTCTCCAGAAACAAAGAGGAATTATTGTATTCTAACTACTTTATGATCTAAAGGGTCCATTTTTAAATACAAGAAACACAGGTACTTGTTTCTATAATAATATTTTTAACCCATTGTATAATATACTATAAGTTAAAAGTATTACAGAGACAAGTGTCTGTGATCAGAATTCCTCAGCCTGGGGCCATAAATTTTACAATTCTGGTAGAGGGTTCAATGTTGCCAACAATTAACTGATAGATGTCCAAATGTGAAGAAGATGATGTAAAAAAAAGTCTCCTTAATTCTTATATCTTTAACCCCACTCCTTACGTATCACTGACAGAGGCAATGAAAATTTATATTAATATGTTTCCCTTATAGCAACCTTTAGTTATTGTATGCCAAGATTGGTTGAATTAGTTCAAGTATGGTGTTCCGAAAGGGCCATTTGCAAAAGTGTAATCGCACGTTGTTACTATTGCAGTTTTGCAAGTGACAACGCGCTAGTGCTTGTTTACAACGCACCGGCACATTATTACTAACGCATCGTTGCACTATTGCAAGGGACAACGCACTAACGCAATTTTACATAAAATGCCGTCGCGCTAACACACACCAAGCCATCACGCTACTATGCACAAGTATTGTGAGGGAGCTTGACGGTGTATTGTGTAAAGTTGCGTTTGCTTGACGGTGCATTGTGTAAAGTTGCGTTTGCTTGACGATGTGTTTTCTCAAGGTACTAGTAAATTATGCCATGACCCACTGCGTCTAGAAAATTGCAAAACAACGACCTGCGCGGATATAGAAAGGGGGGGGGGGGGTTCGCCCCTGGAATTTGCAGTTATTAAATGTATATACTAAACTAAGTAAAAGTAATATTGGACCCCCTCTCCCTAGAAACCACGTACAGTACCCCTCCTCGAAAACGCGTAACTATTAGAAATTGGTAAGAAAGTTAAAGGTATGAAGCTTTTAATTTCAACGACATTTCAGCTTGAAAAAAGGGGGGCACCCCTTCTCCCTACATGTAGTTAGAAGGAAATGGTAATACATGTGCTGAGTAAATGCCCCCTCTCGAAAGTGGGGGATATTAATTTCGGTCTGTCCGTTAGTCTGTAACACTTCCGTTCCCACTCGATATCTCGAAAAGCATTTGAGCTTTTGCGATGAACTTCCTATGGCCTATATAAGGAAGATCCCCTTAGTTTTGAGATTAAAACGTCAAAGGTCATGGTCTTAAATTCAGAAATTTATTCTGTTTGAAAACTTTTGTTTAGCGCGATTTCTCGAGAAGCTACGGAAGCCCGTTGGTGCCACGTACGAAAAATATTTTATCTGGCGGCCGCCACTTATATATCTGGCGGTCGCCACTTAATATCTGACGGCCGCTACATAATATCTGGCGGCCGCCACATACTTTATCTGGCGTCCGCCAGATAAATTCCTGGCTTCCTGATGCTCGCACATGTTTTAACGTGTGATTTCAGAGGTGGATACAGTGTTTTAATTAGGGACATCAATCAACCAAACTTGTAAGAGATTTATTAGGACCCGACACGCCAAACCACACTTCTAGTAGATATGTTTTTGCATAGAGCAGATTAATATTTGATTTGAATTATGCAAGTAGTTGTAGAGTGTTTCGGCCATTAAGAAGCCTCATCAGGGGTCACAAACATAAATCATGGTGTTAGTTTTAGGTGAGACCGGATTATCTCGTCACCTATATTCTAATGTTTGCTGTAAGCTATGATTGGTTGAGAATTAAATAAAGTTTTGCATTCTGTATCTCTAAGAATGGTGTTCCAATATTTCAAAATTCGTTTTTATCATTAACTTTTTTATCAATAAACAGCGGCTGTGTAAACATCCATCTTCTTAATCCAATAAAGATACAATAACACTCACCTTTTGCAAAATAATTTATGCGGCGGCCGCCAGATATTAAGTGGCGACCGCCAGATAAAATATTTTTCGTATGTGGCACCAACGGGCTTCCGTAAGAAGCCTTTA